CTACTCTCCTCCTCCTCTCTCTCTCTCTCTCTCTCTCTCTCTCTCTCTCCTTTCTCGCGTGCGCGCGCGCTCCGTTCGTCTCGAGCCAGCATCCCGTTGAGTTTTCTCGACGCGCAGCCGCCCGGGATCTCGTCCCGTTCCGCCTTTACGCTCGCGATACTCTCGTAAAGATATACACGGTATTTCGAGAGATCGCGATCAAATTCGAAATGAGGGGGGGAAAAAGGGGAGAAGCGAATAGAGGGAAGAAGATCCGGATAGAGGAACGCGCGATGATCTCGCTTAATGATCGACGGATCTCACGATGCCCGGCGTCTCCTTAAGCTTAATTAAGGGAAATGACACGCGATTACGATGATGCGACGCTGTAAAACGACGTAGATTAATCCCTCGGACTAGTCCGGCAACGTGACATGTTCGGAATAAAAATTTTCAGCGGAAACGTGTTTAATTTCGCTCGGGAGAAAATGTAATGATGAGGAATTGCGTGGGTGTAAACCGCGTTGCATACAAAGATTCGTCTTTCAACGTTCAACCAAACGAAGACGATGATTCGTTCCGTGTTCAAAGAGTAGATCCATGCAATTATTATCAACGTTTAACGTGATCGAGAATGTCTCGAAGGACGGTAATAAATACCCCCCCGTCCGCCGAGCGAAGCTTCTCCTTAGAATTTATCATCGATAAATTCTAATCGCGGTTGCGACGGTTTTTCCGTTACCGAGCGGAGAATTTCGAGTACCGTGTTTTATTTCCGAGCGGTTTTATCGCCGGCGTTTCAGGACGTTTGATATGGAAATCGACGGTCCCGGTCGGACGATATCGCGAATCCTTTGAGAGCAAGAGCCCGTAAAACGTGACCGTCCGCGTCCTCTTGGAAATGTTCCTCGGTGACGCTTTAACCTCCTTCCCGCTTCTCCCTATCCGGATAATCGTTCTGAATTTTTCATCGTGACTCGCACGCACGAGACGCGAGAGCGAAGAGACTTTCGAGAAACTCGCGTGTGTCGCGATATACGCGAGGTAGTAAGATATTCGTCCATTAACCCTCTGCGTAGAACGGTAAATAAATCATGAGGGTATTTTTAGAACGGCATCTCAATTTTGCAGACCGCCAAGTCGGCAACGGTATGTTTGCATAAACGATACGATTTGTTAAGATCCCATGAAAGTACGAAAAAATGCGTGCAAATACTTTTGAAAGCTTTAAAATGCCGCCTTTGCGACGAAAGAAAATCTCGCGCGCGTCATACATCTCCCTCCTGGGAGACTCCTGGGAGTGCGAAGAGAGTTAATCGTTAACGATTCGTGTGTGTCCGTCGAAGTGAACGAATCACGAGAGGAATCGACATTAAATCTTGGAATCGCGCGAGGGCCGTAGATCTGCATTAAAGCCGTTCAATTTCGTGTCGTGGCGCACATTAGCCCCGTTTAATTTATGGAGGGTGGACGGGGAAGAGAGAAAGAGAGAGAGAGAGAAGAGAGAGAGAGAGAGAGAGAGAGAGAGAGAGAGAGAGAGAGAGAGAGAGAGAGAGAGAGAGAGAGAGAGGAGGAGGAGGAGGAGGAGGAGGAGGGAGGAGGAGGAGGAGGGAGGAGGGACGGGAGGGACGGACGGGAGGACGGGA